TCCTTCATTGTTCCGGCACCTTCTAAATATACCCTCTGCGGGCTAGCTTATCGTGGCCTCATGTTCTGCGCGGGCAGCGGTGGAGCCGGGCAGCCTCCAGCCTCTTCTGGGCGCTCCCGTGGCCTGTGTGTGCCCACTATGCTGGAGGGAGGGAGGGAGGGTTCCCCGGGCGGCCAAGAGCAGCCTCCCGCTTCTGCAGGAGAGGGTTGGACGCGCTCCTGGGGTGGATGGAGGAAAAGTGTGAGCCGCCGTGGTGTCTGCAGGCGTGGCTCCCAGCTCCCGAGTGGACCCTGCCGTGTCTCACCTGAGAACTTGGTGCCGAGAGAGCTCTCCCAGTTCTGGGAGCTGGGGGCTCCTACTCAGCCCAGCACGTGGGCAGCCCCTCTGTGCACCTGCCACAGCCCAGGGATTACCCACCCTCACCCAGAGCCTCTTTCTCCCTATAAAGTTATGGGGACACAGCCACACTCGTGCCCATATTGTTGATAACGCTTTATGGGGACACAGCCATGCCCACTGCCCGTTTCGGTTGGTAACATTTTATTGGGCGTGGCCATTCCCAGCTTGCCGGGAGAGGTGGGTGCCCAGCCATACTTGAAGCACTTCCCCGCCGGCCCACAAGAGTGTCAGACCGGAGTCACGGCCAACCTCTCAGTTCTGACTCTGCCCCTGCCCTCCTGCTGGGCCTGGGAGGACCGTTCCCTCCGGCACCCCCAACAGGCTTTGGCTGTGGGTACACAGGGCCGTGGCAGGGGTCGCCCTCCCCATTGGCCCTCATGGAGCTGCTCTGCTGGGCTGGAGTGAGGACCCTGGGGGGATGTGTGACCCCCTGGGTGGGATGAGTCCAGGTAAGGGCCCTGGCTTGCCCCTGCCTTGTGGGCTCCGAGTCTTGAACTTGGCCAGCTCGGCTCCGCAGCCTGGAGAACTACAGGGTCCAGCGATGGCCCTGACTACTTGCCCATCTCTGAGTGCAGGGGGAACAGGTCCGGGCCTTGGGTATCGACTGTGCCAACCCTGAAGTGCCCCAGCCAGTGACTTCCTGGGAGGCCTCAGCGCCCAGGGAACTCTCAGCCTTGCTGGGCGCTGGGCAGGGGGAGAGGTGAGGTGTGGTCCCTGGGGTCAGTGGTCCCAGGGACTGACTTCCCCGACTAGCTGTGGCCCAGTGCAAGGGAGGTGAAGGTGGGGCAGTGCTGCTCACACACTGGAGGCCTGCATGGAGGAGGCGACAGCCCTGAGCTCCCCAGTTCAGCCTGGCTCAGTGTCGGCCCAGCAGAGGGACATTGGCTGGAGCCGGGCTGAGCACACTTGCTGGGGAAGGTGGCTTGTAGTCATCATTGGGCCGTGTGGGCTTTGGGTGTTTGACCTAGGAGTTCCCAGGTTACTGCCCTGGGCAGGTCTGGGGTAAACCCAGCGTCTTGGGGAACATGGCTGAGAGCCCAGATCCCCATGCGGGAAAGGCTGGCGCCCAACTTGAGCCACAGCTCCAGCCTGGGGTGCATGGGGTGAAACCAAACTGCAGCCACCTTGCTCCTACCACTCACAAGACGTCACCCCGGAAGGCTCTGTGGGGAGGAAGCAGACCATTGGGGGTGGGTGGTCCGTGGAAGCCCTGTAGGCCAGGCCGCCCACACTGGGTGCTGCAGGCTGGGTGGACCCTCTGTGGTTGGGTGCTTGGTTTGCCAGCTGCCTGGGAAGGACCATGGACTCACCATGGGGCGGGGAGGGGGCTGTTTGTGCTTGAGAATGGGCCTCGTCCCTGAGGTCACAGGACATGGCCCCAGGGCCGCAGCCTGGTCTCCCTACCCACATGTTGGGTCCTCTGGGTGGCTGTAACCTCGTGTACTTGGGGCCTCGGGCCAGCTGGAGCTCACCTGGAGGTCTGACACGTCTGTGGCCCAGCTCCTAGGATGGTGTGGGCTGAGTATACCCCTGGGAGGCCGTGGTCTTGCTCGCACCTGCAGATGCCTGCCTGGCTGATTCCCACTCGGGTGCCCAGCCGTGTGGGACAGGTGAATGACCTCGGGGCTGCTAATGTCCAGCCCGGGCTTGGGACATGCGACAGGCAGCTGCAGCGGGGCTATTTGAAATCCCTAGGAACCCATGGTGGCTGGCAGACTGCACCCCAGCCTGCTCTGCCTGGGGTGGGCCTCTGCTGGTGGAAGGCAGGGCTCACCAGCCGCCCCAGGGACAGGCAGCTCGGGCCCGACTCCATGGTGAGGTCAGCTGTGGGCTCACACACAGCATCCCCAGCCCGTGTCCCCGGCTTCCAGGCCACAGCCAGGGCATCCAGCCCGATCCTCACCAGCTCCGGGGCTGGACCCTGCCCTTCCGAATGCTGCCAGTCTCCTGGACCAAACCGCTGGCGTGACCTTCTGTATCAGATCCAGTGTGCAGCACGGGGCCTGTATCGGCCCCTACGTGACTCAGCCGGACAGCGGTGCCAGGCACGGTTCCTGCAGGTGGCCGGGCAGCGGGGTGTCCCGGCCCCGCCTCCCAGAGCGGCCCACTCCACTTCACCTTCCCCCATCCAGGAGTCCTCACAGCAAGGTCACCTCAGCCCAGCCAGGGCCCCTGCAGATAGCGGCCGATGTCCGATAAGGCTCTCCCCTGGACTGGCTGGCCCCCAGGCCCTGCGGTCACAGCAGCTGAAGTGGCTTTGTGGCCGAGACGAACAGGGAAGCCATTGTCCCTGGACGTGGGAGCACCTTCCTGGCCGCTGGCGGTGGACAATCCGGAGTGGGCAGCGCAGCCTGTCTTGCCCGGGCCTTGGCATTGCCAGGGGCTGTAACAGCCTGAGCCTGGGGGCTCAGCTGTGGGGTGGGGGCTCCCCAAGGGCCAGGATCCTGGTGCCGCCTTATTGAAGTTCCAGCTCTGCCCCGATTGGAGCACACAGGGCCCATAGGCTCAGCGTAGAGACGGGCCGGTGGCTTCTGATTCTCTCCTGAACTGCCATAAAGTGATGAGGTGTTGGGGACCCGCCTGGCCTGGCACAGGCCTGACCTTGGGGCAGCGTCCGCTGCTGGAGTGGGCCCAGGGGGTGACCTGCCCTGCTGCCCACCTCGGCCACTGGAGCCTCATGCTCCCCTCGTCTCCTGGCGCTGCTCCTGCTGAGGAGAGCTGTGGGCCACGTGTCTCTTGAGCACTGGCCGTTGGTGCCCAAGGGCGCTTCCTTGGGCAGGGCAGACGCCCCCAGTCCTCAGAGGGCCCTAGACAGGGGCTTTGGACATGTCTCCATGGTGGGCCGGCCGGCCATGCTGTGAGGACCTTGGCCACATTTGCTGGCCTCTGCCACGGGGTCCCCGAAGCTGTGGAGGGGCAGTGGGAGTGCCACCTCCCTTTGTGCAATGCTCACCCTACCCTCGGGCACCCTGCAGGCCAGGGGAGCTGGCAAGCGGACACCTTCTGCCCTAGGGCACCTGCACTTCCTCTTGGCCGGGCAGTGTTGTGCCTAATCCGACTTACCACTCTGCAAATCAAAACAAACACGTCAAGGATTAGGCCTGGCAGCCTGAGCCTTCAGGTGCCCTGTGGGCAGCGCGGGGCCAAGCCCCATGGGCCAGTGGCCCAGATTGCCAGTATCTGGATGGGCCACCCTGCACAGTGGTGCTGTGTCCCCGAGGGCCACCTCCCATGGGGCTCCTTGGCTGTTGGGCAATTGGATCGGCATGGGCACTGAGCTCCCAGAGCAGCTGAGGGCACAGATGTCAGCAGGGACCAGGGAGAGGCCTGGGCATGGCATCAGGCTTGCCACTCCCCGGCCTGTGCAAATCCCGGTAACTGTGGTGTGAGGGCCGAGTCAGGGTCAGGAGTCAGAGCTGCCTGACAGCTTCTGAGGCCCCAGGCCAGGCAGGGCCAGGCAGGGCCAGGCAGGGCTAGGCGGGTGCCCACAGCCCGAGGGGCCTCCTGGGAGTGGTGTTGCTGTCCCCATGCCTACTGAGCGGGTGAGAAGTGGATGTTGCACATGGCAGGCACCAGGGTCCACCCCTGCAGGCGGACATTCATGATGGGGAGCTGGTGGGAACGGCAGCTTTTGGTCTGGGTCCCAGCAGCAGGAGGGTAAGGAATCACAGGGGAGCAGCATTACACACCATCGGTCCTGGGGGGCCCCGGGTGGGCTGTGCAAGGCCACGGAGGGCAAACCTGGCTGTTTGTCACCCCCAGAAAGCTTGGAACTGGAGGCATAGGTGGCAGGGAGAGGCCAGGTGTGGGAGCACGGAGCCTGCAAGAAACTATGGGAGTGTCTGGGCAGCTGTGGGCAGCTGTGGGCACAGGCCCAGGCATACCACCTTGGACCCCATTCCTGGGGCTGTGGGGCAGCTCCCTTGTTGTCCTGGCCCTGGCTGGCTGTCCCCCAGGCAGGGGAGGACTGGGGCAGCCTGGACAGCCCAGGGTCCTCGGCTGGCTGACTGGCCGTGACGCCATCACAGCAGACAGCTGTCTATTGAGGGCCGGCCACAGCAGAGCTGAGCAGCCAGGGAGCTGACACTGGCAGGGCTGGCCACACCTTCCTTTAGATGTGCCCTGTGGAGGGGCAGCTGGGCCCTGAGCGCCAGGGTCCTGGGAACCGTGGTGTGCAGAGGGAGACACGTGGCTCACACAGTGTGCCCACACCCAGATGTCTGACAGTCTTGTTACTGTCGGGTCTAGAATGGTCTGCCCCATGAACCCGTTGCCCTGTCGTCTGGCTCTAGAACCAGTGTTCTCAGGACATGGAAACAGCCCATCACAACTGAGTCTAGAACGTTCTGTCACTCTCTCGGCTGCGTGAATCTGGAACGTTCTGTCCCTGTGATGGGAGGCTGTAATGCTTGCCACTTGCTCTCTGTGGACACAACTCCCCTAGACACAGCTGCCCCGGTCACCTCATATCTGCAGTGTGCTGGGGAGAAAGTGGGGGGCCAGCTGCTTGTCTGCCCCGGTGGCTGGGGAGGGAGGCTGGGTGTTGGCTCACGGGGGCGGGCGTGGCAGCCATGAACTGACCGGCACCCTGTCTCCTGCAGCTTCCTCATTGTACTCATCTGCCTCATCTTCAGTGTGCTGTCCACCATCGAGCAGTATGCCACCCTGGCCACGGGCACCCTCTTCTGGATGGTATGTGGGTACAGGGCTGGGACCTGAGGGCTGCTGCTGCCTTGGTCTCCAGGCGCCAGGCTACAGGGGAGAGGGTATGGCAGGAGGGCTTCCTGGAGGAAGGGTGGGGTTGTGGTTAACAGAGGTAAGCTTGGCTTACCCTTGTGGGGCACACAGGTGTCCCCTCCCGCGGTCACCTGATGTCCTGTTGGTGGGCGCGAGGTGTAGCTCCAGACCTGTGGGACCACCCAGCTGCTGGCACACCCCGGCCCTGTGCGGTCTGCAGCTTATCTGAGCCACGAGGCAGGGAGCCTGGGCTGGCAGTCATGAGGCCAGATCAGCCCTTATCATGTAGGCACACCTCTGGTGCTACGAAGGGCTGTGGGGTGCCCATGGGAGCCATCCAGCTGGCTGTGATAGGCAATGGTGTCATGAACGCCAGGGCTGTTGGTTTGGGGTCATAGGTCCATCCATGCTGGAAGACCCTGCCCTTTTTGACGGACTCTGAGCCTGTGAAGTATGCAGCTGGGTTGGGGACCACCTCACCATGCCTGAAGCCAGGCTAGGTGCAAGTGATGTGCTTGGCGCCCCATGGGACCTGTCCCGGCGTTGTGTCTGTGCCAAGCACTGCTGGGCCTGCCAGCTACTCCTCCCACGTGCTATTGTGTCAGCTTGTTCTGGGGAGTAGCTACATTCCACAGCATCCATGTTGGGAAAGGTCTTGTGATCACATCCTGCAGGCAATGTGATGGAGTCCTGCCGTGGGTGGGGCTGTGGGTGATGGAGTCCTGCCGTGGGTGGGGCTGTGGGTGATGGAGTGCTGTGGGTGGGGCTGTGGGTGATGGAGTCCTGCCGTGGGTGGGGCTGTGGGTGATGGAGTGCTGTGTGGGTGGGGCTGTGGGTGATGGAGTGCTGTGTGGGTGGGGCTGTGGGTGATGGAGTCCTGCCGTGGGAGGGGCTGTGGGTGATGGAGTCCTGCCGTGGGAGGGGCTGTGGGTGATGGAGTGCTGTGTGGGTGGGGCTGTGGGTGATGGAGTGCTGTGTGGGTGGGGCTGTGGGTGATGCAGTGCTGTGTGGGTGGGGCTGTGGGTGATGGAGTGCTGTGTGGGTGGGGCTGTGGGTGATGGAGTCCTGCCGTGGGAGGGGCTGTGGGTGATGGAGTGCTGTGTGGGTGGGGCTGTGGGTGATGCAGTGCTGTGTGGGTGGGGCTGTGGGTGATGGAGTCCTGCCGTGGGTGGGGCTGTGGGTGATGGAGTGCTGTGTGGGTGGGGCTGTGGGTGATGGAGTGCTGTGTGGGTGGGGCTGTGGGTGATGGAGTCCTGCCGTGGGTGGGGCTGTGGGTGATGGAGTCCTGCCGTGGGTGGGGCTGTGGGTGATGGAGTCCTGCCGTGGGTGGGGCTGTGGGTGATGGAGTGCTGTGTGGGTGGGGCTGTGGGTGATGGAGTGCTGTGTGGGTGGGGCTGTGGGTGATGGAGTGCTGTGTGGGTGGGGCTGTGGGTGATGGAGTCCTGCAGTGGGTGGGGCTGTGGGTGATGGAGTCCTGCCGTGGGTTGGTGGTTTTGGCTGTTCTCACTGCATAAGGAGTACTTTCTTTTCTTTTTTCTTTCTTCCTCTTTCATTGCTTCTATCCTTCTTCTCTCCCTCCCTCCCCACTTCTCTCTTTCTCTTTTTTTTTCTCCCTTCTTTCCTTTTGCAAATTCCTAGATGGTTGTTTGTTTTTTAAAATTTAGCTTTATTGGAAAGTCAGATTTAGAGTGGAGAGACAGGGAAAGATTTTCTGTCTGCTGGTCCATTCCCCAAGTGGTCACAATGCCTGGAGCTTTGAGGGTCAGGAGCCAGGAGTGGCCCCTAGTTTTCCCACCCAGATGCAGGGTCCCAAGGCTTCGAGCCATCCTTCACTGCTTTCCCAGGCCACAAACAGGGAGCTGGAAGGGAAGTGGAGCAACCAGGATTTGAACTGGTACTCATGTGGTTGCTGGCACTTTCAGGTGGAGTATTAGTTGAGCCATCACACCCAGCCCAGTGAGGAGTGTTTTCTGTCCATTTCACAGCAAGTCTTCTGCCATGCCTCATGCTGACCACAGCACGTTAGGGTTCTCAGTAGCTGCAGAGGCAGCTGCACCAGGCCTGGGGGAGTCCCTGGGACTCTGGGTGTCAGGAGTCGCATGGCTGTGTGTGACTACATTAGCACAATGCACGCACCAGGCCTGGGGATGGCGGGGTCTCCCCCAGGGACTGTCAGCAGAGTGTCCATGTCAGGCCTGGGGACGGCGGGGAATCCCCCAGGGACTACTCCCAGGGCTTGTGTGTGTCCTGTCATGTTTCGTCAGGGCTCCGCGGTACTCTCCTGGTACTCTGGGCTGCCCAGGGCGGCCTTCAGCCCCGCTGTTGGGCAGAGGCTATGGTTCTGGGGTCATGGTGGCAGCGGCCTGTTCAGTGTATGTCGTCGCACCCTCCTGGGGCCCTGCAGGTGTGTGTCCACATAACAGCAGAGGCACAGACGCACACCCACAGGTCTGCAGCTGCACACGTGTGGGGACTGCCCGGAAGGGCTGTGACCGCGTGGTGTGTTCACACCATGGGACACATGTGTGCAGCTTTGCAAATGGGTACCTGTGTGCTCACACGTGGCAATGGGTGAGTGATTTGTGCCATGGGCTTGTGTGCCCACAGCACTGTGCCTTTGTCCCCGTGGTGAGCACTGTGTTTATGAAGGCGTGTGTATGTGTGTGTGTGAAGGCATGTGGATGTGGTGTGTGCGTGTGGATGTGTGTGGATGTGTTGTGTGTGCGTGTGGATGTGTGTATGTGTGTGGATGTGGTGTGTGTGTGTGGATGTGGTGTGTGCGTGTGGATGTGTGTGGATGTGGTGTGTGCGTGTGGATGTGGTGTGTGCGTGTGGATGTGGTGTGTGTGTGTGTGGTGTGTGTGTGAAGGCATGTGGATGTGGTGTGTGCGTGTGGATGTGTGTGGATGTGGTGTGTGTGTGTGTGGATGTGGTTGTGTGTGGATGTGTGTGTGGATGTGGTGTGTGTGGATGTGGTGTGTGTGTGTGTGGATGTGGTGTGTGTGTGTGTGTGGATGTGTGTGTGTGGATGTGGTGTGTGTGTGTGTGGATGTGGTGTGTGTGTGGATGTGGTGTGTGTGTGTGTGGATGTGGTGTGTGTGTGTGTGGATGTGGTGTGTGTGTGTGTGTGGATGTGGTGTGTGTGTGTGTGTGTGTGGATGTGGTGTGTGTGTGTGTGGATGTGGTGTGTGTGTGGATGTGGTGTGTGTGTGGATGTGGTGTGTGTGTGTGTGGATGTGGTGTGTGTGTGTGTGGATGTGGTGTGTGTGTGTGTGGATGTGGTGTGTGTGTGTGTGGATGTGTGTGTGTGGATGTGGTGTGTGTGTGGATGTGGTGTGTGTGTGGATGTGGTGTGTGTGTGTGTGTGTATGTGTGTGTGTGTGTGGATGTGGTGTGTGTGTGTGTGTGGATGTGGTGTGTGTGTGTGTGTGGATGTGGTGTGTGTGTGTGTGTGGATGTGTGTGTGTGTGGATGTGGTGTGTGTGTGTGTGGATGTGGTGTGTGTGTGTGTGGATGTGGTGTGTGTGTGTGTGGATGTGGTGTGTGTGTGTGTGTGGATGTGGTTGTGTGTGGATGTGTTGTGTGTGTGTGTGTGTGTGGATGTGGTGTGTGTGTGTGTGGATGTGTTGTGTGTGTGTGTGTGTGTGGATGTGGTGTGTGTGTGTGTGGATGTGGTGTGTGTGTGTGTGGTGTGTGTGTGTGTGGATGTGTGTGTGTGGATGTGGTGTGTGTGTGGATGTTGTGTGTGTGGATGTGGTTGTGTGTGGATTTGGTATATGTGCGAAGGCGTGTGGGTGTGGTGTGTGTGTGTCCTGCACAGTGAGTTCAAGGTGTGCATGTGTTGAATTTCTGTGTGTGCCTGTGTGTGTTTGAGCCCATGTAGGCTTATACATGTTTCTGATCATATATGTGGATCCATGTTATTGTGCGTGCGCGTGTGCTTGGCTGTGCTTGGCCATGCCTGCTCTGCTCATGTGCAGCTCGGATCTGGGCCTGTTGCTCCCTCACCCGTCTCCCCAGGGAACTCCCTTTGTGTGGATGGCTCTGATGCCATGGGAACTGTCCTGTGTCTGTGTCACCCCTAAGGCCTGTGTCCGTGCTGGAGGCCCGCCCTGAGGTCCTGGGGCTGGGGCCCGGGTGTGCTGGGGGCCCACCTTGAGGTGTTGTGCTGGGGCCTGGGTGTGCTGGGGCCTGGGTGTGCTGGGAGCCCACCCTGAGGTTCTGGTGCTGGGGGCCTGGGGTGTGCTGGGGGCCGGGGTTGTGCTGGGCCTGGGTGTGCTGGGAGCCCACCCCGAGGTCCTGGTGCTGGGGGCCCATCCTGAAGTCCTGGTGCTGGGACCCACCCTGTGGTCCTGGTCTGAGTCCTGTCCCAGGATGCCTGGGCCGCCAGCTGCTGCGGGGCCTGGCATCTGTGAGGCCCGGGCGCCTCCTGGTGGTCATTCCTGGACCTGTAGCCACTGAAGGCTGGCCCCTCACCCTGCACCTCTGGGGAGGGGCCTCCCCTTGTGATGTGGGCACAGTGACCCCGCCTGGTGCTCACTACACAACCAGGGGTGGGCTTCCCATGTCTGGAGTGAGCTCTGGCCCGGCTCTGGCAGCTCCCAGAGGGCGTACGCTCTGTGCCCTCTCTTACCCCACTGCCTGTCTTCACTGCATGCCCCCCGACCCTGCCTCAGGACCCTGGCGCAGGCCCTGTGCGTGACCTGGTGGGCCAGCTGAATCCCCCACCCCAACTGCTGCTTGCTTCCTGGCGCGTGGTTGTGCCATGATCCCGGAGTGCTGCCCAGGCAGGGGCCCTGGGGCCATGCACCCAGTTGGGGCCTCCTGCCCTCGGTACCCAGAGCTGTCCCATGGCACCCCCCCCCCCCACTCCGGTGCGGCTCCAGACTCCCGCACCCTCTGTCCTGCCAGGAGTCCGACCCTCACGGATGTCGCCCTTGGGGTCGTGCTGCGGC